TTGGTCTATTGCCACACATTTGCGGAGTATGTTTCGAAATATATTACCACATATGCCTCGGTTTATACGCGGTTACGTTTAAAAGAGAAATGAGTGCGCGGTTTGCGGTTAAAATTTGAAAAACAGCTCGGTTTTCGGAGATGCGTACCCCCTATAATAGACCCCCCTTCTGCATGGCTAGTACTTTATAGAAAATGTTCAACCAATATACTTGCAACAATTGCATTCGTTGCATTAAGACACTTCTACTAAAAAAATACAACTAGAAATACTTCTTACAGTATTTTTTTTATCTTTTCAAGACAGTTTCTTACCTCAGTTGCCAACAGACTTTCACTTCGTATTTTCCCGCCTTTTGAAACTCGGACGAATTCGTCAATTTTTTTACATAAATCCATATATTTTTGTATTAAAACTTGAAGTTCGAACTTTACTAGCATTATTTCTGTTGTTTTAGTTAATAAATCCTGCCTTTTAACAAAAAAATATACAAAACAAAAGCAAAAATATCGAACTGAAGCATTTTCCATTTTTTAAGCTGCGACTCAGCGCTACATGATACCACAGAAGATGAAAAGGGCATCCGCTGACTTATCAAGTGCGTTGAAGCGCCCACTGATCTCGGAAGTCAACCTGGATTGGTCAGGACTATTCACGTTATTCATTAAATTTTAATTCCACAAATCAATATTTATTTATATATTTACAGTAAATACTTTTACATAAAGTCTACAAGAAATACATTAACCTCGTTACATATATTTTACTAACAATACTAATACTAGCATGATTTAATAAACATCGTTCATTTCGAAGCCTTCAACCACTCTCTCAGACAATCAATGATTACAGCATTTCCATGTGGCTACTAGGACCCAATTTCCCCCAGGACTTTTCATATTTACACCAGGGTGGGAAACTAAAGAAAATAATGAAATATAATTCATTGAGAAAGTCTACACTAACTCTACTTATACTTGATATGTCTATGAAATGATTCTTTATGACATGGGAAGACCTGTTACCTGCCCACTGATAACCATTGCTGGATTCATAGATTTCTCCTCCAATATGATCTTTTCTGAGAAGATTTTCAGGCACATCTCTGGCTAGTATCACAGTTAATGACAATTGCACTCTCTCCCATTGCTTGAGAGAGATGACAGTCCAGTCATTCCCAGAAAGTCGTAGATAACTATTTGATCGATCCAGCCCATATATCGCAAAGTTACGAGAGTCAAGAGCCAAAACTTTTACTATGCGTTTGCTCAACTCTAAAATAAAACATGTTGTATGTCAGTTGGTACCAATACTGGAGAAGCATATTAACCTAAAATTCTCTTGTCTATTTATCCAAATGTTTATTTTTCAGTCATTGCGGTCTTGTTATAAATTACGTTAAATAACTGTGTCAGATTTTTAGCACAACTAATACATCTTCTTCTTACTCCATACTATGCTCAGTAATGCTGTGATGTTTTGGCTATGGCGCCGCAATTGATTTACCCTTCATGCTGAGGTATGCTAGGCTTGGCTAGGGCATGCTGGACGTCTCAAATTGACCATACTGTGTCATGATAGATTCCTTGTCAAATCTGGCACAGGCATGCTGATACATAATTATTCGGTAGTATTTTACGTCAGTTTCAAAGCATTTCAAAATCCATCACTGCAAACTTTTGATTGAACTCTGTACAAACAACCAAGTCATTCTTATATGAACATTTTCCTTACAGCTCAGTCAAAGGCTTGCAAGACTTGTTAGTTAGTCTAATGCCATACATCCATGCCAGTTCTGCGTTGTAGATCAAAGTGTTTGAGACCAACTACACGAATAGTCTGTTTTGAGCATGGGCGTACCGGAAGGAAAAAATTAGGGGGGCGGTAAGAAAATTGCCCGACTTTTCGGGATTCTGCCCGACTACCAAAAAATTTTTTCCGGAAAAATTATTTTGGCGACCTCCCCCTCCCGTCGCCAAAAAAATTTCGGTCAGTGTACCATTTTACGGGTCAAAAAAAATTTTCGGACAACCAATATTTTTCGGAACATAACACAAATTTTCGAAAAATCGCAACATTTGCCAAAAAATTGAATTAATTTTAGACAAAATTAACAGAATTTGTCCCATTTTTTTTTATTGCATACCAAAATTGCCCGACTGTTTATCGAATATTGCCCGACTGCCCAAAAAACTGGGGGGGCTGCCGCCCCCCCCCCCGCCCCCCCCGCCCGGTACGCCTATGGTTTTGAGGGAGAGTCCCATCTGTTTGTCGCATTTACACACAGACGAATTGCGAGCTATCTTTTCTTTGCTCAAGTTCGTCCAAACGAATCAGCCATTTCTAGACTAACATGCAGCGGCGGACACTAGGGTGGAGGGGGTTGGGGGGCAGGGGGAATCGCGCTGTATTCATGGAGATATGAATCGCGCTGCATTATTTCGCCACTGCTAACACGGATTAAACATTCTTGATTTGGGTAACTTACTTTTCCAGGTGTAACCATCTCTGGTATATTGGCAACTGCTTTTAGTTCTATAAAATAAGAAAGATATGCACAAGACTAAAATATTTTTATCCAATTCGCTACGCTACAAAATTATTTGTAGATTCATACCTGTCATCGCTATAGAGGCAGACGTAAAAGTCGCCAGTTAAGTTGTTCAGGAGATATGAACGACGAGAAAAATCATCTGGAACTAAAAACAAGATACTATTTATCGCATGGTATTGTAGGTATGGCATGGCATGGCATGGCATGGCATTGGTAAGGCATGGTCAGGGCCGTAGCAACCGGGGGAAATGGGGGGGCTTTAGCCCCCCTCAATAATTTGTAAACTAGCGATAATCTGTGACGTTTGAGAGGGAAATAATGACCTAATAATCGCCCCTGACTAATCAGCCCCCCCCCCCAATACAAATTTACTTCCTACGGTAGTGATGGTAAGGCATGGTATAGTGTGGTAAGGCATGGTATAGTATGATATGGCATGGTAAGGCGTGGTATGGTATGGTATAGTGTGGTGTAGTATTTTATGGTATGCTACACTGTGCAATGATATGGTATGGTATTGCATATTATGGCATGGTATGGTATTGGTCACAGCTTACCAAAATATGAAGGCATAGGCTCCTTAAGACAACCATAAACTTCCAGCCTCATCACATGAAACGGGTCTGATTGTTTTCGAGGTAATATTCGTATATACCGAGTCACAACCGGTTCTGCAAGTTTTACAAACGTAGGATAGATAGCTGCTGAGGAAGATGTTGGTCCATCAAATATCTGGAAGAAAAACATACTTCAGAGAGATCAGACTGACAGAGCTAGCCAGTATAGCTCTGTTCGATTCCCACCGTGGCCGGGCATATTTTTCAAGCTCGCCCGGTGTGGATGTACACTTATAAGTAATAGCATAAAAAGAAGCGAATTAGCTATTAAAACGTCCCGCCCGATGAGGGTCGTTTAGTATAATTCCCTTGGGCGCCGCTCGATGAGGGTCATTTAGTATAAATTAAATGGTATAATTGTTTTCCCTGTCTTTGTTTAGTTTTGGCGATTTCAGATATCTTCATTTATATTCATTTTTTCTAATCGTACCCGCTTTGACGTCGTTTCGGGTAGGATTAGAACTAATTCTACCTGACATGACGTAAAAGCGGGTAGGATTAGAAAAAATGAATATAATGAGGTGTATTAGTTATTAATTGCCCTGCGAGAACAAAGGGAATACCTGCAATCATGATATTATCAGAGTAACATCACAAACATCATATTATTCACCTGAGTACACAACACCAACACAGAAAAAATCAGTATAGTACAGTTTAGTCTTCAGTCAGACAGAGTCAAGTACTTTGACATAGAAAGCTGAGTAAAAATATTCAAACGAAAATACCTTCAATTTGCCATTCTCTGTATAATTCTGCCACACCAAACTATCGTTGCTGATCATTACAGTGTATTTTCTAACAAAATTGTTCGCCATGCCAGTTTCACTCCATTGACCTTCTACAGCAATTTTTGTGAAGGAGTACAACACTGCCAGGTCAATCTGTAGATAGTCTTCACCGGCAACATGGCTAGCCAGCCAACCCCCAAATTCGTTCGCCTCCTTTCTTAGCCTGCTATCATAGCGATTGCTCGTACCCTGCCGTGTAGATAGAGCTTCGTCTGTGATAAAGCCAGATTCCATTCCAAGGGGCAAGATACAAGAAGCTATATGGGGAGGAAAGCTAATTTAAGGGTTAAATCAACAAACTTAAGCAAGGCTGTAACTTAGATTGCTGCTAGAATGTCTACGATCATATTTTCCCAAATTTTTTTTATCAGATTTTTTTTATCAGATTTTTTTTTTGATCAGATATTTTTGATCAAATTTTTGTGATCAGATTTTCGGAATGTCTAAGAACAGTTTAAAACTGACAGGGTATCTATACCTTGTGTTTTCAAATTTTCACAACCATAGATTTCAACTTTTAAACATATAGAAGTGTTCCATCTTGTTGGCCGCAAGCGTACATTATAAGCCTTGAATGGTTTTGCCAACCAATGAATGACGCCTGAATCTTCACTGAGTGTGTGGTTGAATATCTAAAATAAAAATATTATATCATTTTAAAAAAAGATCAATTAAAATTTTGATCCTAAACTAAACGTACGCTATTTAGACTGGATATCTCCATCACCCCATCTTCTAGAGGTCCAGTAAAAGCAATCCATTATGGATCGAGTATTACTACAGGGGAAAATTTAGACTGGCTATCTCTATCTTTCCCTCCCCTAGAATTCTAGTAAAAGACAATCCTTAAATGATAGTGTTACGGTACTACAGGAGGAAACGGAAGTACCCACAGAAAACCTCCAGGATAGACAGCCTAGTAGGCAATTCCAGCTTTTAGTTTATGCCTGCAGGGGATGATGGGAAGTAAGGTATCATATTGCTGATTATGCTGAACAATTTCAATAAAAACTACCGAAACAACCGAAATATTTCAATATTTACAAGTATACCAGGTGATCTCGTGTTCGTATTTTAGCCAATCAGCGCTCAGAAAGGGTTGTCCGAATAGAAATCCATTTTGATGTATTCAGTCAATTATATCTTTCGTTATTCTTTATGAAACTAGTTGAAATTTCGTAAGTATGTTTGGCTATGAGAACTATAGCTCTGACAAAAATATGGAATCGAAATAAAGTACATTACAGGAGATATTCAGTTGTTTTAATCATAAAATGGATTTCTATTTGACAACTAGTGCCAGTACTTTTCCGCGTATCAAGATCATCTGGTAAGCTATCACTCCGTGTTTACACGGCCACCATTTTTATTTTTTCAGCATAATCACCAATGTGATACCTTACGTCCCATTGTCCCCTGCACACATAAACTAAAAGCTGGAATGGCCTGTTCCTCGCTTTTTCGCTTCCGCCTTACTATTTTAGGGTGGTATTTTAACAAGGTTTGCAGGTACGATGAGGGAGTCTCCTGGGGATCCAGTCAAGCGAGAAGGCCTGGGACTAGGCTGCAGGGTAGAGTCAAACTGGAAGCACTCTTCTGATATAGGACCGAGGTGAAATTATAATGAGACAACTGCATATTGCAGGAATGGAATCGTGGTTACAGAGATGAGAGACACACGCATTTTACCACTGTGTAACCAACATCCAATAGCAGATACGACTAGATATTTACCTACCCTAGTCGTGCCATATTCTGTATAGTTTCTCCAGTTTTTATCATCCAAAGAATATTCCACGACAAACAGCTCAACTCCAACGTGAGCATTCAATCCTTGAACTAATAATTTGGTGATCCTCACTTCGTGAATGAAGTCTATTTGAAGAAACTGCGCCTCGTCCAGCACGGCAGCACACCAACCATCTGAGATATCTAGGCAGATAAACGAGAATAAACCATAAATATATGCCTGTAGATATTATTTATCATATTAAGTTGAGGTAGCCAATCTTTGAATGAAGCTTAGTTGATGCCAGCGCTTACATGGACTTAGCCAGAGGCCCGTCCACCCGTCATTCGGACGTATATATTTTCTTCATTTTTTAGTGCATTTTTAAACATGTGTTCTTTTGACTGTTTTTAGAAGATAAAGATCTGATTTCAAATTTATTCCAAATGGGGGGGGGGGGTATGCCTAGTCCAGCATGTTTGGATGGGTATGCATTAATTCCAAGCTTAGATAACTGGCTCTCTACTCACTCAAACGTGCTTTGAATGGTTCATGTCCAATGATATGAGATGATGATGTCATTTGATGATCTCTGATATAACCACTTGAGACACCCAGTTCGGCAGAGCAACCTTCAACACATTGAAGAATCAGGTTTTATTGAACGTTGATGATGATTTTTTTATTCCTAATTGCTTCAGATGATGTTCACTGCGAATTTTTCAAATGTCATAAAAGTGGATCTAAAATCGGCCGACAAATCGCCATATGTAATCATGGATCTTAACTACCCATGATGTAACGTAACTTTACCTGGCACTTCAATGCTGTATGATAACGTTCCCCAATCATTTGTGTATCGCGTGCCAAATATTGGGTGACCATCCCAAGACAGCTGGGTATGAATTGTTATAAAATGGCGACCAGGAGAAAGAGACAGGTCAGGATCAAATACAAACATCAAATTACAGCAGACTTGTTGTTGTTGATACAAATAGGGGACCTAAAAGTATGGTACAGTACAAGTATTAGTGGTTAGTTCATCCCTGCAATATGCAGTTGTCTGACCATAACTATAGAGAAGAGTGTTCTCATATCTGACCATAACTATAGAGAAGAGTGTTCTCATGTCTGACCATAACTATAGAGAAGAGTGTTCTCATGTCTGACCATAACTACAGAGAAGAGTGTTCTCATATCTGACCATAACTATAGAGAAGAGTGTTCTCATGTCTGACCATAACTATAGAGAAGAGTGTTCTCATGTCTGACCATAACTATAGAGAAGAGTGTTCTCATGTCTGACCATAACTATAGAGAAGAGTGTTCTCATGTCTGACCATAACTACAGAGAAGAGTGTTCTCATGTCTGACCATAACTATAGAGAAGAGTGTTCTCATGTCTGACCATAACTATAGAGAAGAGTGTTCTCATGTCTGACCATAACTATAGAGAAGAGTGTTCTCATGTCTGACCATAACTATAGAGAAGAGTGTTCTCATGTCTGACCATAACTATAGAGAAGAGTGTTCTCATGTCTGACCATAACTATAGAGAAGAGTGTTCTCATGTCTGACCATAACTATAGAGAAGAGTGTTCTCATATCTGACCATAACTATAGAGAAGAGTGTTCTCATGTCTGACCATAACTATAGAGAAGAGTGTTCTCATGTCTGACCATAACTATAGAGAAGAGTGTTCTCATGTCTGACCATAACTATAGAGAAGAGTGTTCTCATGTCTGACCATAACTACAGAGAAGAGTGTTCTCATATCTGACCATAACTATAGAGAAGAGTGTTCTCATGTCTGACCATAACTATAGAGAAGAGTGTTCTCATGTCTGACCATAACTACAGAGAAGAGTGTTCTCATATCTGACCATAACTATAGAGAAGAGTGTTCTCATGTCTGACCATAACTATAGAGAAGAGTGTTCTCATGTCTGACCATAACTATAGAGAAGAGTGTTCTCATGTCTGACCATAACTACAGAGAAGAGTGTTCTCATGTCTGACCATAACTATAGAGAAGAGTGTTCTCATGTCTGACCATAACTATAGAGAAGAGTGTTCTCATGTCTGACCATAACTACAGAGAAGAGTGTTCTCATATCTGACCATAACTATAGAGAAGAGTGTTCTCATGTCTGACCATAACTATAGAGAAGAGTGTTCTCATGTCTGACCATAACTATAGAGAAGAGTGTTCTCATGTCTGACCATAACTATGGAGAAGAGTGTTCTCATGTCTGACCATAACTATAGAGAAGAGTGTTCTCATGTCTGACCCTGATAACTATAGGGAGTGTTCTCATTTGATTCTACCAAACACCGCAAGTTTTCTGCATGTACACCTGTTTCTTCTCCACTTCCCACCGTAGCTGTGCTCGGTGATCTGACATGAGTCATAAGGTGACTGGCAGAGGCGCCCTTAGAAAGCTTTCGACTCGCTCAGGTCCAGCTGCGTCCTTCGCAATTCGGCATGTGCTAAAACCCGGAACGAAACGAAACCACTGAAACCAGTCGAAACGAAACGAGAAAACGGAAACGACCGGAAAATCAAAACAGAACACATTCTCCACCAAACTTGGTGGTTTCGTTTCTTTCAGTTCCGGCTTTTTAGGCCGTTTTCCATTTCGCCCGTACCGTACCGAAACGTACTGGCGAGCATGCGTGGATTGAATATAGGTTGATAAATTCACGTACTTCCGGGTGTATTCAATGTATTCGCGTATCAAAATGAAAAGTTCGTCGCAAGTCAACTTTTTGGCGTACTACGTAAGTACGTAATGTCGTAAGTACGTAATGTCGCAATCGACATTCACTAAATTTTAAAAAAATTTTATACGTTTCGGTACGGTTGAAGTGGAAAACGGTCTTTAGTACATGCCTCACATTTCAGCTTAGCTCTCAGCTGCAAGTAAGGATGGTTAGCACACTCCAAATTACTCACTTTAACGCTAGACAAATAAAGGATTTCCCTTACTGGACTCCTGGAACAGATAGAGTATCCACTAGAAACAAAGTTAGTTTAGTTTACAGTTCAACGCATTAATTTTCTTACCTGTACGTCAAAATACGAAGAATAGACCTCGATGCTAATTTTAGGACCCACACTTTGGTTTAAAGTCTGAAACTTCAGATTGTTGGGAAACATCCATCGTAAACGAACATTAGATGCATTTGCATGTGAAGACATTGCGTGATTGATACACACATTATAAGATAACACATCGCTAAAACATAGAAAAAAATCGTCAGGTGTACTTAGGTTCTTTAAAATTGGAATAGTTCGCTTTTTACATACCCTGATGATAGTGAATCAGTACCGTTCCATATGACGTTACATATGATCTCTGGAACCTGATCTTGAGAAGCTGAAATAAATTACCCAGCAATTTGGGTTTAGTAACAAGAACTTGATTCAAAAGATCGCCCATATAAATTAAATCCTAGCAAATTAAATCGACTTTTAAGACGGAGAGGTCATGACTTTGAACTCCCAATTGTTAAAACTGAGAGGTTCAAAAACGCGTTTATAAATAGATTGAAAAGACTTTCAATTTTATATAAACTATCTATATTCTTATACCTAAAGTACTAAAAATTGATGTAAATAACTGTATAACAATCTAATTGTAGTATTCGTAAATAATGTAAACTCAGACGTTTGTTTTGAGTATTCAAATAAAGACTTTTATTATTATTATTATATTATTATTAATCAATAATGCAATTACAACTAGCGTACTAATATTATTAATACTTGAATGTTGGGTGTCAAGATTGAAGAACACACTTCCAGATGAAGTGCCTTCGCTCGTAACGTCGAAGTTGGTTCTTATTTTGACGGCGTAGTTGCATCACATACACAGTCAAGCTCGCAAAGTGATGTGATTGGACTGTTAATAACGGTTAACAGCCACAATTAGTGCGAATTAGCGCATTACTAGCGTTTTTCCGTTTCTCTACAATACAAAAAGTTTCAACCGTATATTGATACTGTTTGCTCATTCTAAGTTCGTTCTATTTTTGCTCTTTCAATGGACCGTTGTCATGACAAAAAGCATGACCGGAAAAAACGCATCTACACCGAGTAACTTGCTACGGCATGCTTCTAGTCAAACTTGAAGATGAAACCATATATTCAAGTGTACAACCTACCTTTCAAATATCTTACATTCACAAAAAGAAATGCGCAAAAAGAAAAAATATAGAAAAAGTGACCTTGCATTGTTGCTGCACTTGTCGATCAAAAGCAAGTTTGCAATTTTGTTTCTTTAGTACTTTCCTGTTGGAAACACCTGCAGGATAGTGAGATTGTATCTATTTTTATTGTCATTCTATAAAACAAACAGATTCAGACATTTTGATAAGGTGCCTCGTCGTTTTAATTGATAAGATAAAAAAGAAATGTCTATAACAATGTTTAGCGAGCTAATAGCCTAGCAGTCTTTTCACAGAAATTAACATGAAAATAGCAAGCTCATGTCGCGTGTTCACCGTAAGGTAACTATGTCCGTGACGTCGTTTTGAACTGTTTCACATTCTTGCAAGCACGTACAATATTCGGAAGATGTAATAATTAGTGTGAGTACCAAATAAGACAAGATGCAGGAAGTGATATTCAGCCAAGAAGCAGGTGCAGAGCGGTAGACACACCACATAATATCAGAACAATGGATCCACCGTAGCCAAAAGAGCCACGCATACGATTTTTTGGATCTGAAACACAATAATATGCATCTTGTTCATGCACCTTCAAATACACGCTTCCGGAAGTACGTCATCTTGGCTATAGAGCCTCGCTTTCGTGATTGACACGTTATGCTTTACTAACGTCGCGAACACGAAAATGAGGCTCTATAGCTCTATATATAAATTCTAAAGCAATATGAAACCATTTGGAACAATGTACCTCCAGTGTAATATCCGAAGGCATAAAAAAATCGAGATATAATCCAGACAATTCCAGCGATTGAACTGATGCACTACAACGATAAACCAAGCAAGTTTATTACACACTAGAGTACAATGTATTTGACGTTTCACGGAACAATATCATTGAAAGCTAAAAACCAATTTACACTACACATCTTTTGCCTAAAACTGTCGCATGCAACCTGCTCACAACTTGAGTTGAACTGTGTAAATCAACATACAACTCACATACGTTGTTGTGCGTGAGTCGCGGGATTGATTTACGTATAGTAGAATTCAAGTTAGGTTTTGTTTGTGGAAACACCACGTAAATTTATTACTGCAAAGCTTTCGATCCGTAAGCCCGGATCTTCATCAGTGCTAATAATATGAAGATCCGGGCTTACGGATCGAAAGCTTTGCAGTAATAAATTTACGTGGTGTTTCCACAAACAAAACCTATTATATTTTATCACCATGCAAACATACAAAGAACTTAGAATTCAAGTTGTAAGCAGTTTGCATGAGACAGTTTTAGGCAAACGTTGTTCTTACAGGATGTCTCAATCCTCCAACGAACAGGAGCATCAAGAACTGAGGATACATCTCCAGGCTGAAAACAAAGAGTAAAGTTTTAAAATCAGAACGTAACTTTATACTTGTCCAAGCGCGCAAACAAGGTTGATTTTCCACTTGGTTGCAACTGTCGTGAACAACTCATGTTCGAATATGTGAATGATAGTCTACATCTTGAATTTGCGCGCGAGCAGAGAGTCGAACGAGTACTCGAAAAACTTGTCAATTCGCACTCACTCGTTTGTCGCTCGTCCGGTCCACGATTTGTTATTAGAGAGTTTGAGCAAGACAACGAAGTCGGACGACGACGAAGTGGTTGACAATTTTTGCCTGTCTTGCACATTATCTTGCGCATTCTGAGTTTAGGGTCAGGAGTGAAGACAGATTAGAGATTCATGTCTAGCTGTTTGTGAATGCTGACCCAAATCCTTACCCTGATCAGGATAAAACAGCGAGACATGAATCCATATCCCGCCTTCGTCTTCTGCCTTCGTTCACAACGAATATTTTGGCAAAATTCGTTGTGAACTTCGTTCTGCACGAAGGCAGAAGGACAAAGACGGGATATAGTTTCATGTCTCGCTGTTTTTTTCTGGATCAGGGCAAGAATTATGGTCAGTATTCATAAACAGCGACACATGGGAAGACACGTTGTGCAACCACCAGTGACGTCCAACTCAGTATGCGCAAGATAATGTACAGACGGCAAAAATTGTCAAGTATGCCTTCGTCTTCGTTGTCTTGCTCAAACTCTCTATTCCAACAAGAACCTCCCCCGTATAGTACAGAATATGCCAGTAAATGAGGAATTATTTTTACGTTATTTACTTACGTATTCTGATGAGCTCTTTGATAACAATTGAATAACGGCTGACTATCATCATACATTTTCGGATACTATATGTAATCAAAGAAAATTAAATTTTGAAACGAATATTTGCCTCATTTAGCAGGGGGGGTACTGAATATTCCGGGGGGGCAGTTATTGCTTTACCACCACATTTGCAATGATATGTTCTCAAAATCATGTTCCCCGTTAAACATTTTCAGGGGGGGATGCTAGTGATTTCAACCTAAATCTGCCTATGAAAAGTGTAGTAGACTCATTTATCAGGGGTATGTGTGTGCAGCTATTCCAGGGGGGGGGGCAACATAACTTTACCTAATAATGTAAATAGAACATTTCAAGATTGCAAAATAAGCGATATATAAATAGCTGCTGTCTTCGGACGGTTTGTCTGGAAAATATAGGATAGTAATCAGGGATAATGTCAAGGACTCGCAATTATATAATATTGATCTATAATTATCACCGGGATAATATTAAATTAATAGCGTGAAATGTTCGTTGAAAATTTAGCCAAGATATTCGTTGTTTATTTAAGTATACATACATTAACATTAAACTTCTTTCTTGCTTTCCCAACTTGTACAGCCAAATACGTGACCATAAAGATGCTAGAAATACCAGTCAATATAACATAACCATACTCGGATGGTAGAGCTAAAGCAGACATCTTGAAATTTGAACGATCAACTTTTAAAATTGAATTACGTAATTACACCTGTTCGCAGGTTAAATAAATTACCATCTGTAATCTGTAATATAACCAAAGAAATTACCATATCATTTACCACACATTTCCCAATCAAGCAGAGGACTGGGTCAAGTCTCTTGTTTGGAGGGACAAAAAATAAACAATATGCGGAATATGGCATCTAGGAAGTTTCCCTACATTCCTAAAGTTATTTGTGCAGCCTGAAACGCAACAATTATAATAAGGCATCTTTTAATATATATTTAGCTCGCTCACTAACTTGTTGTCCCTCCATTCTCGTACCCAGAGCCCTTCTTACGCGCGGTGCGACGAGGGGCTCTGGCCAAATCCATAACCGGATACCGTAAAAACATGGTAAGAAAACAACATCCGGTGTTAGAAGTAGCCAATCAGATGCCAGTTCGAAATATGGATTTGGCCAGAGCCCCTCGTCGCACCGCGCGTAAGGGCTCTGGGTACGAGAATGGTTGTCCCTCCAAAATTCAACTAGACCCAGTCCTCTGCTCGATTGGGAAATGGCTAACTGTTCAAAGCGTTCAACGAAGATAGGTTACAGGATTCATCCAGGTGATCTCGTGTTCGTATTTTAGCCAAACAGCGCTCAGAAAGGGTTGTCCGAATAGAAATCCATTTTGATGTATTCAGTCAATTATATCTTTCGTTATTCTTTAAGAAACTAGTTGAAATTTTGTAATTATGTTTGCTTATGAGAACTATAGCTCTGACAAAAATATGGAATCGAAATAAAGTATATTACAGGAGATATTCAGTTGTTTTAATCACAAAATGGATTTCTATTTGACAACTAGTGCCAGTACTTTTCCGCGTATCAAGATCATCTGGATAACTTGTTGTCCCTCCATTCTCGTACCCAGAGCCCTTCTTACGCGCGGTGCGACGAGGGGCTCTGGCCAAATCCATAACCGGATACCGTAAAAACATCCAGGTAAGAAAACAACATCTTGTGTTATAACTAGCCAATCAGATGCCAGTTCGAAATATGGATTTGGCCAGAGCCCCTCGTCGCACCGCGCGTAAGAAGGGCTCTGGGTACGAGAATGGTTGTCCCTCCAAACATCAACTAGACCCAGTCCTCTGCTCGATTGGGAAATGGCTAACTGTTCAAAGCGTTCAACGGAGACAGGTTACAGGATTCATGTCGAGCTGTTTATGAATGCTGGCCCTAATCCTTACCCAGACAAGACAACGAGACATGAATCCATATCCCGTCTTCGTAAATCTTCTACCTTCATTAATTAAGAATGAATATTTTGGCAAAATTCGCCGTGAACTTCGTTCTGAACGAAAGCAGAAGAACAAAGACGGGAGTTTTATATCTCGCTGTTTTGTCAGGGTCAATATTTATAAACAGCGAAACATCAATCTACAACGGCAAGACATGTTGACCAACCACTGCAGTGATCTCAAACTCAGTATGCACAAGATGATGTACAGACGGGCAAAAATCAAGTTCCGCGTCTTCGTGACTTCGTTGTCTCGCTTATTAAAGCCGATTTCACAACACAGAACTTTTGCCTAAAGCCTGGTTTCCATGATATGGGCGTAAAAATAGAGTCACGGTCGTTCTCAACGGCCAGTTTATAATCAATATAGTTTATTCCTGTTGACTAAATATAAATCATAAGTATTCTCTAGTTATAATCACTCCGCCTATTTGCACTTTTATCAAGTTGTATTTTTTTTTTATAAACTTAGTCTATAAATGACAGGTTACCCTACAGAGCTTATTGTTCCATTTAAAGGGTCCCTAATTTCGGCTGATGAGAAAGATTGTGTCTCAATCTTTACGACCGTATCACATGGTATATGGAAAGCAGCCGCTTAAAACTGTGGCACGCAACCTGCTTACAACTTGACTACTTGAGTTGTATACCGTGTAAATCAAGTCACACATCTCGCCTAAGTTGTCGTAAGTGGAATACGGATATTAATATATTGCTTTCGTGTGAATAAGTTACTTTGTATTAAAGTTGTTTGTTTCGTTAGTACAAGACGTCAGTATTCAGGAAAAGCTCTTCAATGAGGAATTTTCCTCAGCATATATTAGCAAGATCACGGGTTGCAAGTTTTGTCATGGGAAAATATGGGCATACCAATGCAAGCTGCACCCATAAATGATAAACGTCTAGAATGTGAAATATGACAATTTAACAAAAAACACAGTATGCTGGTAAAATAACCAACAATGTTAAATATATACTGAATAATTTACTCTGAGACTTGAAAGACGTCTTTAAATAATCCCTTAATTAAATAATCCCTAAATTGTGAACGACCATTTCCTGCGGTTTGGCAATAATATTTCAATAATTTCCACTCAGTTATTTCAAACTCTAGTGACTTCGAATTCCCCGGTATTTCCAACTAATTTCCTTCCTTTCACCGAAATTTACCCGGTTATTTCGAACTCTACTCTCTAATGACTTCTATCAACTCAGGTATGCAGTTCGTTGTTTTTATCATATTATTATTGCTTGTAATTTGGCCCTGATTCAATTCCAGTCACGCGAACCCCCTGTTTCCCTTGATTGTTTGAAATGGCAGGGATTCTGCTGTAAAAAAAATTCACATAGTTCACACTAGCAATTTAGTAGATCGATCCGAAATCGAGTTCTGAGTCGTGTCGCAGGCCAAATAAGGACAACCAAAAGCGAGCGAAAACTGATTCAAGATCGACCTAAATTCGACCTCCTGGTCTCGGATCGGTTCATATTTTACAACCGAGTTAATTCCTTGCTTAGCACGAGGCTGGTATTTTTTCCGCTAGTTAATTCGGTTAATTTACTTAAGATTTTGTGCGTGCAAGTGTGGACACTATATAATGACCTTGAAGGAATCGGCCTCAGTTTGAGATCGCTAACTTACGATTACGATTTAGGCTATAGTGCTAACTTACATGTGAAAATGATCAAGTCAAGTATTACGCTTACCTAATTACTTAGTTAGCCTATATGCTGTTTATCTTTTAGAACAATTGTGATATTACTTTCTAACTAACTGTGTTTATCCTCTCATGCAACTCTTGTTCTCGTGTGACGTAAGTTGTTTGACAACTACATCACTTCATTTCACTGTTTACCACTGCACAAGTCACGAGATAACAATTTTACACTCATTTCGCATGCAAGAGTGACAAAAGCACCATTGAGTATTGAAAATTATTTATAGTATACGCCCCATTAATTAAAGCTGAAGAATTGTCTACGGTGGTATGTCAAACATTTCATCAAAAGAAAACTTAGAATATGTATATTGTGATACTGTGAATGTTTTATAACTTAATGCTTTCAAAACACTATCATGCATTTTATTTAAGATAATGATCGCGTATATAAAATAACATAAATACTAGAATTATCTGGAAAATATTTTATACCTAGTTTTAGTAGATTTAAGTCATGGTCATGCATAGTCATCTCTTAGCGGAAATCAAAAGTGCTCGGAGGCCAGTATTGATCAGTGGAAAAACAACGTAAGCATGCACTGATTGGGTGTAGAACAAAGAACTGTATATTGAATATACATGTATTATGATTATGAAGCATAACCACTTCTGATTGGTGGATATAAAGTAAACTTGCATCTGATTGGTCGAACTCAAGGAGGCTTACATCTGATTGGTCAATGAATTCAAAGATCAAAGACTTCAAATGAGTTTGCAAATCAGGCAACAGTGTCATTCGACAACGCCTGTGAGAAGAGCAGTTCATTGCGTTCAAGTCAAGAGAGAAAAGAAGTAAACAAAAATGTCTATCAAAGTTTTGGTTGTTTTCGTCTTGTGTCTGATAGCAGTTTGCAACGCTCAGAGTTCGACGCCTGCAGCAACTACGACAGTGCAAGTTAACACCGACGCAGAAAGTACGACGAAGGCGATGGTCTCCACAACTATGGGAGTGCTCAAAGTCTTCGTAAGGTTAACTGTTTAGACTTCTATTTAGTTTCTAGCTTTCAAATAACATTTTCTAGGCGAATTTATAAATTTGTATTTATATGTTAGATATTGAATAGCTCGCGAGGGATGCTTGCGTATTTAAATTTTCAAGTGTAGAATATATGAGTTGTCGTTTTTTGTTTAATCTACATGTTAGCGAAATATCGGAAGAGTCAATATACAATTTTCTAAACTACATTTATGTGCGTGTACGTGTTCTCTTTTTATCTTTGTATTTTTGTGCAAGAAAAGAGGCGGCAATCTGATCACATGCTTCAAGGTGCGGCGTCTTTTTTCAATGCAGCGCATGCATTAATATAACAGCATGACCGGCATAATTATAGGACAGTTTCGTTTTCTCTGTTGGCCGGTAAAATCGATTCAGTTCTTGGCCACAACTGTATATCAAGTTTATTTTATGGAGTAAATCGAGTCCTTATGGTTTGCATAGAGTGTGTACTAGTGATTTAACGATCAGATTTACGAGTCCATAGTCCAAAAGTCGACATTATTCATTCATGAAATTTATTGAAATCGCCAACAAAGCACAAAGAAAGCTTTTAACGTTGTTTTCGTTTCATAACTTATTTCTACTTTAGCTATCGCTTTAAATTAATAGCTCAAAGTTTCCAAAATGACTCCAAAGGTAAAAGTCTTACGATCTTCTGGAATGATTTGGAATGATCAAAATCCTTCCCATTTTTTCTGTACGAAATCGGCATACTAAAATTCAAAACATTACTATCAGCATGAGGCTGACAATATTCAAATTCCCTCGCTTTCAATTTAGGGACTTTTTATCTTTGATGTTTATGGACCTTGGCCAATTTGGATGTTGCTGTCTTCAAGTCAGTTTTTTTCGATCTCCCCTCTTCTTCAAAATCAGAATTTCACCATTAGAAGTCTCGATAAGTTTCAAAATTGTGTAATGCATATAGTACAGCCTAGAATATTGTCTTTTACATAAAAGAAAAGTCTTGTTGAAAATGAGTTTAATCACTAGGGTTTGTATATGAAGGCGAAGCAATTCAGCCCAATAACGATCTATACGTTTCATCACGCGAAGAATCTATAGTTCAAAGGTTGACCTGTTGAAACTTGTAAAAATCGCTCGTCAGAATAACTGTCGAAACAAAGGTGTATTTGTCCCTCCAAGCTAGGTTTAAAGATCTTTTGAAATGTACTCGAGTTGCTTTTGCATGAAGTAAAATTCAACGAAGAAGTGCTTAAACTTCCTTCCTTTTTCCCTTCCTAATGACAAGTTACCATGCATTTCAAGAAAAAATTAACTTCAATCTGACAGTGGCACGCATCGAAAGTATTCGACCCTTTTACAAGCAAAATAGGCTGGGCACTGCCATTGATCGTTCATTTACACTTTTATTTTACATACAACAAATCCTTGCAGACTATAGACAATTTAGCAAAGCGTACATTAGCAAAACAAAATCCACTTGTATGAAGTGCAATAGCCAATATAAAACATACTTGATACTGCTCGCCTACACAGCCTGTTTATCGCCAAAAACCAAACTATATTGAACAACACGCAAAAGATGAAATCACACATGCCCGACCGAATTCCCACGTGTTTGTTCAAAGTTGAATTCAATTCGCCTTTTTCTCATGTGCTCAGAAAACATGCACTTTATAATGAAGATATTGCAATCTATCTGATAGTTTGAAACTGACAGTGAACTCGAACGCGCTGTGTCACCTGCATTGGTAGTGAAGATGCAGATTGATATGGATTCAACTGCCTGCAAAATTCAAGACCAGTATACGTATACTAGTGATTTCAGGTGGTTGAATTCCTCTTAATCTGCAGATTTCCAAACAAACAGCGTCACTTTTTTCATAGGATATCACAACTTCCTTATTATATTTTTAAACATGAAATAATGCTACATAAATTTTGTCAACGCAGTCAAACGAATAAATAATAATGTCTCGTTTTGTCTTTGAAGTATCAGCTTGATCCTATCGGCTTCCTGACCACATATTTGCATAATTTAACGACTTTATTATGTATATCTTTGTGTGAAATGCTCTTCGAATATTGGTTTTTATTCTTACGAATGAAAGATATAGAATTGCTTGATGAATCTACAGTAATACTCTTCACTCTAGGGTAAAGCACATGTCGAAAAGAATGGAAACTATAAAACACGTTCTACCAGTGTATGTTTAATGAGCTGTACCACGCCGTTCACAGCTGTTGCACAAACAGCGCGAGACAATTGCTTTAGAAAACGGCATTTCTTACATGCTTGGTTTTTCCTATGATTTTGGCGTAACCGTAATTCGTCATCAAAATACTGACACCATGGTCACAGAAGGTCGATACAGCCAAGAAAGAGTAAACGCTGCCACACCATGATTCGCAATGGGAGAAGAGTGTTCTCATGTCTGACCATAACTATAGAGAAGAGTGTTCTCATGTCTGACCATAACTACAGAGAAGAGTGTTCTCATGTCTGACCATAACTATAGAGAAGAGTGTTCTCATGTCTGACCATAACTATAGAGAAGAGTGTTCTCATGTCTGACCATAACTATAGAGAAGAGTGTTCTCATGTCTGACCATAACTATAGAGAAGAGTGTTCTCATGTCTGACCATAACTATAGAGAAGAGTGTTCTCATGT